GCGCCAGGATAAGAGACTCTTTCATTTTGAAGCTCGATGTCTCCGTCAATTGTAAATAGTCAGTCGATAAAAGTTCAAAGGCAAACAACGTGTTATCTGAGATCCCAGCAGCCTTGTCTTCCTCCGAAGGAAGGAAGCTTGCTTTTCTGCCTTTTTGCTCTTCTCGTCGCGTCTTCTTCTTCTGGTGCCTTGTTAACCTCTTCAGTCGCAAGGCAATGGGTCGATAGCTGCAAAATCGACTTTCCCCTTTTTCTGGATCTTCTATGATTTTAGTTCGAATTCCAAATCATTAAAATTTCCCTTTTGATGCTGTTTCCGACTCTTCTGCGATCTGGCTCACCACCGACTATTACGTTATATGTACCCAATAAATCTTGAACCTAATGACAAACTTCAACCCAGGACCAATGATCGTAACAGCCGGGTTCTAGTCAATTCTAGATAATGCGCTTCCCACCATGATAGGCTATATTCCTGAATCGCGGGAGCTGTTGCGGCTATTTTTATTTTTATTTTTATTTTATTTTTTATTCTATTTTTTTTTTTATTTTTTTTTCATTATCAGGCCACTTCGAGATTTCTCGTAGAGTCTTAGAATACATCATTTCTGTAGCGAAGCGGTGATACTAAAATCAGCGTCGTGTTTGGTACGGTGCTGTGAGGGAAAGGATCAGATCGCAGGTCGCTGCATATTGAAAGGTGCGGTTGCAAAAGGACATGTGCAAAGTCAACACATCACCCTATAAAGCAAACATGTCTACAAAGCCAAATCGACGTTAACACGTAGGCTTCTATTCACAAACCTTGTAAAGCGCTCAAGCAGTAATCAACATCGGTACCAAAACTGGCGTTATCATGATTTAGAACCGCGGCTAATGTATTGTCCGTACGAGAAGAACCCTATCAACCCCCCCGAGATACAGGTCTAGTTCGAACACCTCCAAAGTGTACCTCTGCTTCGAGAAATCCTACACCTGACTAAAACTGTAAAGAAATCCTCCAGTTCAGAACGCTTCTGTCTCGATATCGTACGTCCAATCCTTTTGACCAAGCCCCATGCGCTCCAAGCCAACTAGCTTGTAAAGCCATAACCCACCTGAGATGGCTAGCTCATTTGCACGCACGCGCCACGGCGATGTTTGTTTGCGCACCGAGGCGTTTGCCTCGGCTCTTTTCAGCATTGTCTCGGTCCTTGCTGTCCGTTTGGCCACATAGGCAGCAAGAGCATCTTCGGGAGGTAGGCTGCAGGTCTCTAGTAGCTTCGAGAACAGGAAGACGTCCTCCAAGGCCATCGACACACCTTGACTAGCGTGAGGCGGCATAGCATGTGCGGCATCTCCGATGATCAGGCAACGACCCCTGAACCATGGTCTTCCGGCTGGCAGCTTATAGACAGGATAGAACTTGACAACCTTTGTCTTCTCAACGAGGTCTTGCAGGAAGTCCATCCATTCGGATGGTTGATCCCCCAAGAGGCGAAGCAGATTTGACTTAAAAGCCCCTGTCTCGGCCTTACCGCGGGCTTCCCATCCGTCACGGTCATCGTCGGATTGTGGAAGAGGAATCTCTCGCGAGAAGAACCAGTAGAGGATGTCGCCTGTCGATGTAGCTGGAGTGACAGCAAATAGTCCGTCGGAGGTCAAAGTCGCGTTGAGATCCTTGATAGGACCAGAAGGTGTATAAACCTCGTGCAGTTGAACCATTGAAAACATGTTAGATATGCCAGTATATTCCGGTTTCTGATCTGGGTCGACATATAGCTTGCGAACAGCCGAGTGAATGCCATCGCATCCAAGTAGAAAGTCTGCTATATCAGTCTCTCCGTCCGCGAAAGTGGCGATTACCTCGTCGTTCTTTTCCTCGATATGAGTAAGGGTTTTGCCGAACTGGACAGAAATGCTCTCGCGCTCAGCTGCCTTGAGAAGAATTTCCATGATGTCTGTTCTGCGGATTCTCAGATATCCAAAACCCGTCTGTTCCTTGCTCCAGGACGACATGTCTATCTCACCCATGGTGCAGCCATTGAGAGAATGCAGGACCAGCCTCGAGGTCAGTGAACCTTTGTCTACTGCTTCATCGTAGAGACCGAGTTGGTGGAGCAGCCGGAGCCCGTTTGCTGGGATCCCTATAGCGCCGCCAAGGGTAGTTGGATTCTGACGGATCTCATACACGGTAGGAGTCACTCCATTGTTGCGCCGAAGGCGAAGCGCGGCAAGCAGCGCAGCTGGTCCCCCTCCAATGATAATGACCTGTTTGTACTTAGATTAACGTGCATGATAAGCTAGTGGACCAGACAAGCGAATGGACCGAAAATCCCTCACCATGTAGTTTTCAAATTGAAGCATTTGTTTCACAACGATCAATTATGCCCCAATCAGACAAAGAGGCAAAGAATATTCTTGCGCTCAAAGCCTACGAAAATGACCCAGAATTAGGCCTGCATCGGGCAGCTGAGATCTACCGGGCCTCTTATGGTTCACTCTGGCGTCGAACCCATGGTATTCCTTCCCGGCACGATGCTGTACCCAAATCGCGTAAACTTTCCAACCTAGAGGAACAAGTTGTCATCCAGTTTATCCTCGACCTGAATTCGCGAGGGTTTCCTCCTCGGCTGCGCGGTGTTGAAGAAATGGCTAATCAACTGCTCGCCGACCGCGACGCGCCACCTGTCGGCAAGCGCTGGGCTTCCAACTTTGTCAAGCGACATCGAGAACTCAAAACGCGTTTCTTTCGTAGATATGACTACCAAAGGGCGAAATGCGAAGATCCGGTCGAGATTCGAAAGTGGTTCAAGCTCGTAGAGAACACAATCGCCAAATATGGTATTGACCTTGCCGATATCTACAACTTTGACGAGACCGGATTTATGATGGGCGTTATTGCAAGTGGAATGGTCGTCGCAGGTGCTGAAAGGCGTGGAAGACCGAAATTAGTGCAACCTGGGAACAGGGAATGGATTACAGTCATTCAAACGATCAATGCGGAAGGTCAAGCGATCCCGCCGTTCATCATCGGTGCGGGCCAGTATCACCTTGCTACCTGGTACCGAGAAAGCAACCTCCCGAACGACTGGGTTATTGCAACGTCTCCCAACGGCTGGACCGATAATGAGCTAGGCCTTGAGTGGCTGAAACACTTTGATCAGTGTACAGCCAAGCGATCGAATAGTCGCTATCGTCTTCTGATCCTCGATGGTCACGAAAGTCACCACTCCGTCCATTTTGAGACGTATTGCAAAGAGAATAAGATCGTTGCGCTTTGCATGCCACCTCATTCCTCCCACTTGCTCCAGCCTCTTGGTGTAGGGTGCTTTGGGCTGCTCAAGAAGGCGTACGGCCGAGAGATAGAGCAGCTGATTCGACACTCTATATCCCACGTTTCCGAGATCGAGTTTTTCCCAGCCTTCTATGCTGCCTATCGGGCCACCATGACGGGAAAAAACATCAAGGCAGCCTTCAGAGGGGCCGGACTTGTACCTCTTGACCCGGAAAAGGTTATCTCAAAGCTTGATATCCAGCTACGAACTCCGACTCCGGTTGAGGAGGAAGCTAACCCGTCTAGCCCGTGGGTTTCAAAGACGCCAAAGACCGTACTTGAGGCTGGGTCTCAGTCCGAGTATCTCATAAGACGAATCATAAGACATAAAAGTAGCTCCCCAGAGTCAATTCTGGGAGCTCTGAAGTCTCTCTCTCTCTAAGGGAACAAAGGCAATGATGCATGAAAATGCCTTATTGAGGACTGAGAACTATGACCTTCGACAGGCGAATGAGACACTGAGCCGACTACGGAAAGGAGGGGTGATGACGGTGGAAGAGGGAAGGCAAGTGCTTGGTCAGATAGACGTTAATGCGCAGGTGGTGGCCGAATCGTCGAGAAGTGGTGGTCAAGGAAAGTTGGCGCAAGCGAAGGAAAGGCACTGTAGAGCATGCGGCAAGAGTGGGCATAACGCAAGAACATGCCAGATAATTGTCGCGATACCTGGAGAAGAATGTAGCGATTGATTTTGGTCATTTAGGTAGTTTGTGGTCTTACCGTGGCGGTTTCTATCTTAAAGGTGAACCATTTTGGTCCACTCGCTTGTCTGGTCCACTAGCTTATCATGCACGTTATATAATTAAGTGTTAGTGTTATGATTTCAGCGGTTACGTCAAGTGTACGCCACAAGTTTCCCCAAACACAACCAACCAAGGAAGGACCGACACTTACAGGACCGATAGCGGCCCAGGACCGACGACGACTTCACGTCACGTCGTTCCCATACGATCATACCTAGTATATAGACCACATTCATTAGCACTTTCATAGAGTTAGCTCACCAGCTATCAATAAAACTTCTTTACATTGATCAAGCCTAACACGCATTGAATCTACCATAAAGAGACGTGAGGCTTTGACAACCGCTCACCATCACGCCCTACGTATTTTGCAAACATAAACCTAGTACGGACTAGTTTACTTGTTTGGAAACCTCGACCTTCACATGCATACAGCTGCATACAGAAGCCTTACAGCGCTGTTACGGGCACGAATCGTAGCACTAAGCTTCTTATATAAACTTTCTATAGGTTTTGCTTAGACCTTTTAATTTATAAAAAATGAATATATTATAGTCACTACATATATGTATATATTGAAATAATTAGTCTATAACTTATATTTAATAATACAAATATAAAAAAAATAATTCAAACTGAAGCAATTTTAAAATAAAAACTTTTTTTAAAAAAAGAAATTGAGTTCTATATAATAAATTACCTTATAAACAAAGAATTTAAATGTATGTTTATCTTGTGATGTATAAACTTACTTATACTTGTTTCAATATGGTTACTATAAAAAAATGCATTTTTATATTACAGTATTAATCATATTGATTCTCTATTTAATATAAACATTCTTTAACAATAGTACTATAGATCTTTCTGGATAGAAATTAAAAATTACTAATTTCAAAGTATTAATATTTGTTGTTAGTATGTATTATTGATACTATATGGTTTTGCCACCCTGCCTTGAATATGTATAACTTGTTCTTGAATGTACTAACGAGGATCTTCTACGTTTCGTTGAACAGTCTCCTTATCCATAACCCTGATAATTGCCCATCAAGGAAACATGCCGTCTTATGGCGGTGAGGCATTTTCACTGCTCGTGTATGCAAGGCCGATCACAGGCTACTGTTAGTTAAAGTTCAAGACATTGACACCACGCTGTCGACCTTGGTGCAGGATTGCTTTAACTTCCCTCCTGGGAAAGGTGGAAAATGCAAGTTTGCCTCGTCTCGTATTCTATGTAGTCATGACGCGGCTTTCGATTTCGTAGCTCTGCAGTTATTAGCCGACTTTATCCTAATAAAAGCCTGCGAATTCGCCAGCTAAGCATTCACGAGGATCAGTCCTCGAAAGTGTAGATTATAAAGGCCAAATACTTCCCAGTAGCATCTGGAGTCACCCCTTCAAACTTCATCTTCCAATTCAACAGTATAACATGAATCCAGAGCTGTTCGCACGCGGGCCAGTCACCGCTATTGGGGCCTTCATAGCGGTGGCAACATTCTCAACAGGATAATTCTTCCTATCGCTTTACCAAACAGCCACAGATTGTGCCAAAAACGCCAAAACTCCGGCAGCTTGCGGTGTTGATGTGTTGAAACAGTCCTTTCAGGAATTATAGCCATTGGCGCAGCAGCTGGCGCGACATACGTAGGCCTCGTTTCGCCCACGCCGCGGGACATTGCGGCCAATGCAGCCCTGCCGATCTTCCGTGTCGATGGTCAAAGCATCAATTGGCACGACGGCATGGCCTCTCATGGCTTCGGCTGGAATCGTACCGCCGCCGACCCGGCCGTCGTGGAATGGCAGCACAACCATACTGCCCCGGTACAGACGTACTACACCTTCGCGCAGGGGGAAAAGCTCTATCTCCGACATGACACGGGGCTGGATCTTGCCATTGGCGACGGCAAGAAGTGATCGGCTACATGTCGCGCGTATATCGACACCACCATCTATGGTGACAGTCTACGTAGCTCTGATTATCAGACGCAACCTACGTATGATGGCCTCCTTGCCTTGTCGAAAACGCTGTTTGACTACTTTGCGGACCATAAGTACCAAAGTGGCTGTGTATTTCTCGGGACTATCGATGGTATAGCAGGAGCAAAGTTTCAGATGGGGGCATCCTGCAGTGAAGACATGCCAGATCCTAAGGATTGTGCGAATGCAGATTATGCGACTCCCCTTTATCTCCTGGATACCTGAGAACACAGGAGCGATAATCACTATCGCCGCTATCCCGAAATTGGCAAAGCCTTGTTGGTAGAGCAGATCAGGAGGGGCGGGAGACTTTATGTAGCTTGATCACTGTATTGTTTTTACTGTTAGTCATAAATATACTCAGAAAAAGCTGCGTACCTAAGATAACGCATTTCCATCCCGTATTATATCAGAGTCACTTTGTAATGCGTAGTAACGCCAGGTAAACAAGCTAGAAGAGTTGCCATCAAAGCTGAAACGAGCGGCGGCCAACCAGGTTTTATGCATATCTCATCTCGGCAAATATTATCCGAGGCAACGTGGCTTTTCCCTGTCACACAGAAACATCTCATTTCATCTACTGCGATTTAGGTCTACCACCCACGATGATGCTAAGCACAATGTCAACTCGATGCACTTCCCAGAGTTTTTGAACTTGCAACGAGAAAACACCGAGTTTGGAGGAAGGAAAGTTCAAACTTGCAGAGTTAGCTATCTGTGAGTACAGCTGCCTTAACCGCCAAAGCTACTGCGTTTGGAAATCAGGTTGCGTACCGTTCACCTTTACCTAATTGGGACATTTCGACTATTGACTTAGAGCTAGCTGGTATCTCTCGAATTGTGAAAGTTCCAATGGAGCATGAGTGAACAGGCGAGCCGAGCCAGTTAGAAGACTCTTGCTGCATAATGGTCACTGGTGTAAATAAGCACTGTAACTACATTTCATTCCATTGGTAGAGTCTGAAATCTCATTGAATATTTATTCTTTCCCCGCGATTTGCAACTACATGGTGCATTTCCATATTTCTTCGTGAGGTCATGCCATGCTGGTTGAGGGGTTGTGTCACGTGTTGACGTGACACAATTTCGCATCACCCCTTCGATATGTTTATTTGTTTATTTATATGTTTGCCAATGGAGATGTGCCAAATAGAGTTCGAATGCAATCATCATTAGTAAACAGTGAATATTTATCCGAGGCGAGATATATGGCTATGGAGGTACAAATGCTATTGCGCCACCAAATTCAACCCCGCAGCAATGTTAACAGAGCTGAGTATATACTACTCCTAACCCATCTAGCTAGAACCTTCTAGCTGCCTTTAAGTGCACTTGCCAAGGAACCAGCTTCCTAGGACAGGATGAGCATCTACTACTGTTTATCTTATATCACAGGAAGGCTATAGCCCATGAACGCAACTTACCCTGGTGAGAAACACACTTCAGTCCGTTGTTGCACACTGTCCCGCTATAGTTGACGTTGCACCAGTCTAGCACAAGTAATTCGTGTTAGTAGCTTCCTATTGTGAAGTTGACAGTAGATGCCACGATTATACTGACCTCCCTTTCGACGCTCGCCCCAGCATACGTATTTGTCTGAGCCTGTGTGAGGCATGCAGTATCCGCTGAGACACTCGATGTTCAACTGACACGCGGCGCCATCTCCACTAAGAGCAAGAGCTCCTGCCGTCATGTGGGCAATGAGAAAGAGGGAAGAGGTAAACTTCATGATGCTGACTGATGCAAAAGGATTATGATGGAAGATGAAGAGAATCGTATCAACGAGGACCTCTTCTTGGGTTTATATAAGAGGAAGCTAAGGAAAGCTCCCATCCTCTACTCCGTAGATCGCCTCGTGTTTGTGCGATTTAAAGTTCACGACACTTGGCAGAATCTCATTTGCCCACTTTCTGCACATGGCCCGGGTACCTGGGTCTGTCAGCGGTTTCATGAACCTAGCGGTACTGAGTCTTGTCAGATGTATCAATACGAGAAGGAAGCCAGAAGCTTTGATCAAGTGATAACCAGCGTATTGATTGACCCACCCGCGAGCAGAATATACTTCAAAGCTAATATGCAAACAGCAACTTGACGCCGATCGATATTTGAGACCTGCAATGCAATATTTGTGGTGCGGTGAGCAGCCTAGGCACCTAGGCAGGCACAAAATGCTGTAGACACAGTCTATATTGGCGGGTATATTAATTATGTTAATAGGCGTAATGTAAGGAAGATACTAAGACCTGGCTATCTGCCCCTTACTACTCTGTAGATTCTGAGTATTAGGCCTACCCGTATAGCTGCAAATGCTTTTTGACCTCACTGTAGGTTTTAATACAGAGTATTGGTTTGGTTTGGTTTGGTTATCCTACGCGGTTCTGGTCGCTTCAGCGACTATGCCCGGTTAGCGGGGTCTAGCGAACAGCCGAAGCATCGCGAATCCGTATTGATCCGCTCTACCCCACTTCGCCAGCGTCTAAACGACGATGACCAGCTGTCCCCAGAAATCCCGCTTTCTCTCTCTAACCACTATTTACACATGCTTGCCCGCCCATGTACCCAGTGGTTCTCATATTAACGTGCCCATGATTGCAGGCTCTCTCGGGTCGTGAGACCCTCTTTTTCGCGACTGTGTACCTACAGTCTCCCCCCAGTGCTCAGCTTTGTCTATTCGGGTCTCGATCCTGAAATTGCCCTAGGATCTGAGTCAGTTCGATGAACTTGATTGCCTTGGCGGCTGCATTGCGCTCGTTCAGTAGCTTCCGGAGGTTGTTGCGTCCTTGGAGTCGTCCTAGTTCCTGGTCCCGGAGTTGTCGGTGTTGACGGCAGCGCAAGAGG